ATAAGACATTTCATTCAGCTCTGTGCATACTTGAGAGTGAAACGCACTAACATTCCCTTTCTCTGTATTTTCTGTGTACAGGACCATCCCTGATGCTTTACTACCTAAAGTCACATCATCTAGCTCTGTTGTAGAGATTGCCGCAAGCCATCATGCAGTACCATTCGGAAAAAATCTGTGTATGTTTTACACAAACATAAAGTATACTTCTCCAGCTTCTTTGACACAAGAGCTGAGATTTGTAGCAAAGTGTACTTTTTTAAGCCTTCTTTCTGCATCAACTACAATACTTAAGTATGATGTATTCTTGACCTAACAATTTTTTTTTCAGGTCTATCTCTTTTTTTTTTTTTTTTTCATTAACAAAACTTAATGCTTGGCACCATGTATTTCAGGTTTTTTTATACAGAAATGTGATGGTTTGTAGCTACTCTGAATTTTTCTAAGTGTGTTTTTGTAATATAACATGTGGCAGTTACATTGATAATGTAAAAATTGACCTTTTTCACCTAACTAATCTATTCATCAAGCCACCACCCATAACACAGAAACGTTTCCTTCTCAAACTCTAATCATTCTTTATTTCCAATTTTCCTGACTTGATTTTGGGGATGCTGTTTCATTTCTTATTCATGTTTTCTAAATGAGGGTGCCTCTTACAGAATTTCGACATTTCCTGTGTGACCACATGGGCATTCAATCAAAAGACAACACCCCCATCATCAGTCATAATAATCAAGTTACAGACTAACTGGTAATGGACCTCTTTTTCAAACTAGAACTGTCATCCTGAGGATAGCCAATATCCTCGCAGAAGCAACAAGTTCATACATCAATTGTTTCAGTCCCGCAATGACCTTAATCAACATTATATGAATGACCTTGAATTTCCCTCAAATCAGGTGGCACAGTGGTAATGCTCTCTCCTTCCACCTAGTCATCCGGGTTTCAATATTTGAATGAACATGATAAGGTAAGGGGTCACCTGCCCTACCAGGGACAATTTTACACACCCTGACCAGAGATGATTTTATATACCCTGACCAAAGATAATCTTATATATATCCTGACCATAGATAATTTTATATACCCTGACCATAGATAATTTTATATACCCTGATCATAGATAATCTTATATACCCTGACCAAAGACAATCTTATATATATCCTGACCATAGATAATCTTATATACCCTGACCAAAGACAATCTTATATATATCCTGACCATAGATAATCTTATATACCCTGACCAAAGACAATCTTATATATATCCTGACCATAGATAATCTTATATACCCTGACCATAGATAATCTTATATACCCTGACCAAAGACAATCTTATATATATCCTGACCATAGATAATTTTATATATCCTGACCATAGATAATTTTATATACCCTGACCATAGATAATCTTATATACCCTGACCATAGATTATTTTATATACCCTGACCATAGATTATTTTATATACCCTGACCATAGATAATCTTATATACCCTGACCATAGATAATTTTATATACCCTGACCATAGATTATTTTATATACCCTGACCATAGATGATTTTATATACCCTGACCATAGATAATTTTATATACCCTGACCATAGATAATTTTATATACCCTGACCATAGATGATCTTATATACCCTGACCATAGATGATTTTATATACCCTGACCATAGATAATTTTATATACCCTGACCATAGATTATTTTATATACCCTGACCATAGATGATTTTATATACCCTGACCATAGATAATTTTATATACCCTGACCATAGATGATTTTATATACCCTGACCATAGATAATCTTATATACCCTGACCATAGATAATTTTATATACCCTGACCATAGATGATTTTATATACCCTGACCATAGATTATTTTATATATCCTGACCATAGATAATTTTATATACCCTGATCATAGATAATTTTATATACCCTGACCATAGATAATTTTATATATCCTGACCATAGATGATTTTATATACCCTGACCATAGATAATCTTATATACCCTGACCATAGATAATTTTATATACCCTGACCATAGATAATTTTATATATCCTGACCATAGATGATTTTATATACCCTGACCATAGATAATCTTATATACCCTGACCATAGATAATTTTATATACCCTGACCATAGATAATTTTATATATCCTGACCATAGATAATTTTATATACCCTGACCATAGATAATTTTATATACCCTGACCACAGAAATCTTATTCAACCTATGGGTATTTTGATAACAAAACTCTGTCCCCTGTTCTCTGTATATTATTATATACTTATATTATAGTGGCTACAGGTGACAATTACAGCAAGTTTTCCATCCATTATCCATACCTCTCGCTATCACAAGTAGTTTATCAGTCTGTGTGTTAGTCATCATCAAGGTACTCTTGTCTATCACAGACCTATAAGTTCTCATTATCTCCTGCTCTTATGGGACATTACATTATACAGAAATGTCTACCATACCTTTCTTTATCTATCATAATTACAAAGTCTTCCACTTACTTAGTGTATAATCATTAAAGCCAGAAATTAGCATGGTCCAATGTAAGTGGTAGGTTCTAAACAGATAGACAATAGATTAAAGTTATTAGTGTGCTATCCACCATCCCTTACAACATAATACTGATGTGATGCTATCCACCATCCCTTACAACGTAATACTGATGTGATGCTATCCACCATCCCTTACAACGTAATACTGATGTGATGCTATCCACCATCCCTTACAACGTAATACTGATGTGATGCTATCCACCATCCCTTACAACGTAATACTGATGTGATGCTATCCACCATCCCTTACAATGTAATACTGATGTGATGCTATCCACCATCCCTTACGTAATACTGATGTGATGCTATCCACCATCCCTTACAACATAATACTGATGTGATGCTATCCACCATCCCTTACAACGTAATACTGATGTGATGCTATCCACCATCCCTTACAACGTAATACTGATGTGATGCTATCCACCATCCCTTACAACATAATACTGATGTGATGCTATCCACCATCCCTTACGTAATACTGATGTGATGCTATCCACCATCCCTTACAACGTAATACTGATGTGATGCTATCCACCATCCCTTACGTAATACTGATGTGATGCTATCCACCATCCCTTACAACGTAATACTGATGTGATGCTATCCACCATCCCTTACAATGTAATACTGATGTGATGCTATCCACCATCCCTTACGTAATACTGATGTGATGCTATCCACCATCCCTTACGTAATACTGATGTGATGCTATCCACCATCCCTTACAATGTAATACTGATGTGATGCTATCCACCATCCCTTATAACATAATACTGATGTGATGCTATCCACCATCCCTTACGTAATACTGATGTGATGCTATCCACCATCCCTTACAATGTAATACTGATGTGATGCTATCCACCATCCCTTACGTAATACTGATGTGATGCTATCCACCATCCCTTACAACATAATACTGATGTGATGCTATCCACCATCCCTTACAACGTAATACTGATGTGATGCTATCCACCATCCCTTACAACGTAATACTGATGTGATGCTATCCACCATCCCTTACAACATAATACTGATGTGATGCTATCCACCATCCCTTACGTAATACTGATGTGATGCTATCCACCATCCCTTACAACGTAATACTGATGTGATGCTATCCACCATCCCTTACGTAATACTGATGTGATGCTATCCACCATCCCTTACAACGTAATACTGATGTGAAATCTTCCACTGATTAAGATAATCTAATTAAACTTCCTCAGGAAATTCTGTCATATTACAACACTCACTAGTACCCTTCCTCCAGTACACAGTACAACCTTCACTAGTACCCTTCCTCCAGTACACAGTACAACCTTCACTAGTACCCTTCCTCCAGTACACAGTACAACCCTCACTAGTACCCTTCCTCCAGTACACAGTACAACCCTCACTAGTACCCTTCCTCCAGTACACAGTACAACCCTCACTAGTACCCTTCCTCCAGTACACAGTACAACCCTCACTAGTACCCTTCCTCCAGTACACACTACAACCCTCACTAGTACCCTTCCTCCAGTACACAGTACAACCCTCACTAGTATCCTTCCTCCAGTACACACTACAACCCTCACTAGTACCCTTCCTCAACAGTACAACCCTCACTAGTACCCTTCCTCCAGTACACAGTACAACAATCACTAGTACCCTTCCTCCAGTACACAGTACAACCCTCACTAGTGCCCTTCCTCCAGTACACAGTACGGCCCTCACTAGTACCCTTCCTCCAGTACACACTACAACCCTCACTAGTACCCTTCCTCCAGTACACAGTACATCCCTCACTAGTACCCTTCCTCCAGTACACAGTACAACCCTCACTAGTACCCTTCCTCCAGTACACAGTACAACCCTCACTAGTACCCTTCCTCCAGTACACAGTACAACCCTCACTAGTACCCTTCCTCCAGTACACACTAAAACCCTCACTAGTGCCCTTCCTTCAGTACACAGTACAACCCTCACTAGTAACCTTCCTCCAGTACACAGTACAACCCTCCTCAGTACCCGTTCCCTTGTACACAGCACAACCCTCCTAAGTACCCTTTCCCTTGTACACAGCACAACCCTCCTCAGTACCCTTTCCTTTGTACACCGTACAACCCTCCTCAGTATCATTTCCCTTGTACACAGCACAACCCTCCTCAGTATCCTTTCCCTTGTACACAGCACAACCCTCCTCAGTACCCGTTCCCTTGTACACAGCACAACCCTCCTCAGTACCTGTTCCCTTGTACACAGCACAATCCTCCTCAGTACCCTTTCCCTTGTACACAGCACAACCCTCCTCAGTACCCTTTCCTTTGTACACTGTACAACCCTCCTCAGTATCATTTCCCTTGTACACAGCACAACCCTCCTCAGTATCCTTTCCCTTGTACACAGCACAACCCTCCTCAGTACCTTTTCCCTTGTACACAGCACAACCCTCCTCAGTACCTTTTCCCTTGTACACAGCACAACCCTCCTCAGTACCTTTTCCCTTGTACACAGTACAACCCTCCTCAGTACCCATTCCCTTGTACACAGCACAACCCTCCTAGTACCCTTTCCCTTGTACACAGCACAACCCTCCTCAGTACCCTTTCCTTTGTACACTGTACAACCCTCCTCAGTATCCTTTCCCTTGTACACAGCACAACCCTCCTCAGTACCTTTTCCCTTGTACACAGTACAACCCTCCTCAGTACCTTTTCCCTTGTACATAGCACAACCCTCCTCAGTACCCATTCCCTTGTACACAGCACAACCCTCCTCAGTACCCTTTCCCTTGTACACAGCACAACCCTCCTCAGTACCCTTTCCTTTGTACACTGTACAACCCTCCTCAGTATCCTTTCCCTTGTACACAACACAACCCTCCTCAGTACCTTTTCCCTTGTACACAGCACAACCCTCCTCAGTACCTTTTCCCTTGTACACAGCACAGCCCTCCTCAGTATCCTTTCCTTTGTGCACAGCACAACCCTCCTCAGTATCCTTTCCCTTGTACACAGCACAATTCTCCCCCTACCCTTCCTTTAGTAGACAATACGAATCTACCTGAAAACTGCCTTTGGTAGAAAGTGAAACCTTTGATTCACCCTTCCACTGACAAAAGATGTGTGTATATAAACAATTGATGTAACACCCTCTCCCTAGTACCCTTCCTCTGGTTGAATGTATATAAAGAGATGTAACATCACCTATGGACCAATCAGACCGATTCCTCTGATGCAGTGGCTGGGCCTCAACATCCCGCCTGCTGCTTTGTGATTGACAAGGACGTATATTGCATTGATCCTCTCACATACATGAGGAACTAACACCTGTCAATGTTCCTTTGTTGATGATGTTCCTGTAGACACCATCTCTTTAACAACAGGATGTAAAAGTTTTTATCTACAAAAAAAATATCACCTTCATCCTCGGGAGAACAAAGTTTTGTGAAGTGCTATATATCAGTGGTGGGATGCTAGTTCCTGTGTTGTCACAGATAAGTCAGTATAAGGAGCTGTAGGGTCTTAGGACACTGTAACGGAATATCTCTTCCACAAGGTAAGTCATTGCTGTCTGATGACTACACTCTCACCCTGCCTATAAGGTATAGGTTATACTGTCAGTCATGCCTTCGTAACAAGATACATCATTTAAATATCATGTCTATTTTCCTTTAAAAGCTTTGATATTTTGTCAGTGAATCATTTCAAGACTCAACATACAATCACAAAGAAGTCCATTCTGAGATAAATTCTTCTAAGAACTTAACGAACGGTTACTTGTTAATAATATATGGGAAAATGAGAAAACATGTGAAAACTTTCCACCATAACACATGAAATCACATTAATATAGATGTAAAGAACAGCTGATTTACTGAAAATGCTTCTTAAGTGCTTCTCAAAGTAAATTACAGCAATAATTTCCTTCTAAATTCTTTAAGGTTTGACGTTCAAAATTTTGAAATTGATCTTGACATATTATAAGAATAAAATTCCTTAGAATACAGATTAAACAAGACAAGGGAGATTTTTCCATACACTGATAATTATCATTAAATAGATGAAAATTAAAAAAGTGTGATAATATTTCAAAACCAAAAATATGAAAACAATTTTTTTTTCCAAAAAAGGAATATAATTTGTAAAATTTGTCATGGCACAGGTAACACAAATTGGTATGAAAATTTGTCCTATAAATAATTACTTACATCGTAATCAATACTCCTATTTTATACCAGATCAGCACCTTTATCAATAGGAATGAACTAATTACACTGTAATTTCCAAACATCCTGATGGTTAAACTGGTGGAGCATTGATCACGTAAAATATTCATTTTCTTATTTCAAATCTTTTTCTCTTCGAGGATGAAAAAAAGCAAAAAATTTTTAAATAGTAAGAAAATGCAGGCCTTTACTATTTAAGTGACACAGCTAAAGCTGCTGGTGGCTGGCAAGTTAAACACAGGGTTAGATTGATATCTACCCAACACTTATGGAAATGCCAGTGCCCAATCTATCTTCAAGGTCAGCATGAACTAGACTGCCTAGCTTTGTTACAGCATTTCATCATCTATATATTATGACTGATGGGTTGAGAACTGGAAGGACACCTAAGAGATGGGATGGGGTTGGTTTTATGTATCCTTTCTGTACAAAATGATCAGAAACGTGTGAAAGAGCTTGTAATGATGATTTATATGACACTAACGAGTGGCAGTGTGTTTGTTTAGTCTTAATTACTGACAAGCACCCCACACTAGTGAGGTTTTATCTAATATAGGAACCAAATCAACAGTATACATGTCTCCTTCATATCGCTTTTTGTTCCTGTAATGTTTTTTTTTCATTTCATCAAAGATAATTAGCTGATTTAAGTAAAACTTAACTAAGTAATACTACTTAAATTCATTTATCACAACAATTATAAAACATCACAAATGAAGACAAACGGAGACCTCTTCAAATAATGCAGAAACAGAGATTTCAGATTTGTGTCTGTAATGACTGTGGGTCCTAGCGTCAATTGCATCAGTTTTTAGGCCAGGATCAAACCATTACCAAACAAAGCTTTGCTGTTTGTGAGTGCAGGAAAACGTTATATAATAATAATATTCGTGCTTGAAGGGTCTTTTTTGAGCCATTTTAAAATGTGCCATCACACTGAAATTTCCTGTTTGGACATGGTAGCCTTTCATCCCTCTGGTCAAATTATAAGCACAATATAACAAGTCCTTACCACTAGGTCACCTTTATTTGAATGTCAGACAGAGCAGTAAGCACTTGGTTTTACATGATTTGGTTTGTCTCTACCAGAGAACAGAACCCATAACCTTTCTTTCTTGGTGGAAATGTCATAAAGGTGAACATATCAACAGTTCAATTTTTTGTGAGCATGTGGTTGTTTTTTTTAAATGGTTACCAAGTTTCTAGACTCCAAGAAAAATAAGCTCTCACATTAGACATAAACTGACTCTGAGAATTAAAATCTTTTCCTCAAGTTATAAGGCTTTGTGTCTGGATCAATATTTATTTAGAAATAAACAAAAATATCTAAACCAGGCTGCCTATATAGGTATTGCTACAGAGATCTATTGATTATAGTAACACAAACATGGCCTTAAGATATTTAAAACAATGTACTATAGTTGTACTGAAATAATCAAGGCGTCAATGAAACTAGTGAAACACATCTTCATGGATGCATTTCTTCCCCCATTATAAAGTGTAAAATCACTTGAGATGTTACTATTCCACACAACATCGACTGGTAAGTTCCATTAACCAACAGGAACACTCAGAGGGAATTCCAATTTTTATTCAATGGATGGTTTCGTTTTCAGTCTTTTTCCAAAATTTCTATGCAGCACTAAATTATAGAAAGTCAAAACCCCATTTTCCAGCTAATCACGTGTTTTCCTCCTAACCTGTGACACAGGATAATTAGATAATAAAACGGCTACTCTACCTTTACAAGGCAGACATACAATCACTGTCACCATGGAGACAACATCTTACCAACAACAGGTATTGCCCAAATGTGGGGCAAATCTGTCAGAAATTGTTTGTGGTCACATGAGGTGTTGGCCCTTACAAACATTCATTTAAATGAATACTTGTATCATATACATTTACTATCAATTCCAAGTCAGCCACAGCCATTTCAGGCAGTGTCAGACACAAGATGTCTCCGAGACGCTCTTAACGGGACAGAAATATATCCTATCACAAGACTTGTCTATCTACAATCTCATGGTACACACAAAAAAACGGAAACAAAAAGACATTACTAGAACATAACAATGTAGCCTTGTGAATAGCACCACAATTATGTGTATATAACACCTTCCTAACAAAACAGAACAATTATACAAGGTACCTTCCTTACAGCCACTTGTTGCTACAGAAGTAAACAATACATTCCTATAATAAAAACCATGTGATGCGGCAAAAATATTTCATTGTCTTATGAACCTCATGATGCTACCAATCAGAAATATTCTTCATCATTTCATTTCTCAGACACATGACATTAAACATTACATGACGTTAAGTAATACATGACATTAAATATCACTTGACATTAAGTAGCACATGACATTAAATATCACATGATATAAAGTAACACATGACATTAAATACCATGTGATATTGAGTAACACAAGACATAAAATATCACGTGATATTAAGTAACACATGACATTAAGAGATGATATCAATTTTTTCCCAGCTGTGTTTACTTGACATCCTAGTTACCTAACTAGAAGTCTATGTGACAAGGTTTGAGAGCAGACACTTATTTGCACACGTTATATTTTTGTCCTAGTAACACGCTAGTTAGATATTTGTTTTTATTTCCAGTGTATCATCTTTGACACTGATACTTATCAAAGGACAATACCACTTATTGCCCTACAACAGGATCAAATGTTGATATTTCCACAGCCATATTTTATTATCTAAATCACTTGTGATGTTATGATCAGTAAAATTGGATAGGTCTTTGTCATGACACAACAGACATTGGCCTCAGACTACCAGAAATTTCAGAATTGAACAAGGCAGTAAATAAACAGAAACCTTCACCGGCTAATATGAAGTTGGTGAATAGTAAACACATGTCACAGGTATTCATATTGATAGGTTATCAGAACACCTAGGTTAAGGGTTATTATAAAGGTGGGTTATCAGTGCACCCAGGTTAGGGATTATCATAAAGGTGGGTTATCAGTACACCCAGGGTAGGGATTATCATAAAGGTGGGTTATCAGTGCACCCAGGTTTGGGGTTATCAGAATGGTGGGTTATCAGTGCACCCAGGTTAGGGATTATCATAAAGGTGGGTTATCAGTGCACCCAGGTTTGGGGTTATCAGAATGGTGGATATCAGTACACCCAGGTTAGGGGTTACCATAAAGGTGGGTTATCAGTATATCAAGGTTTGGGATATTGATACAGGTGGGTTATCACACAGGCTAAGGTTATCATACAGGTGGGTTATCAGTGCACACAGGCTAAGGTTATCATACAGGTGGGTTATCAGTGCACACAGGCTAAGGTTATCATACAGGTGGGTTATCAGTGCACACAGGCTAAGGTTATCATACAGGTGGGTTATCAGTGCACACAGGCTAAGGTTATCATACAGGTGGAATAATGACACACCAATTAGGACAATGGTTATCATACATATGAGTTATGTAAGGAGTAATGATACAAGTGGGATAACAGTAAACCCAAACCTTCAGTACATCCCACAGATTATATTAGTGGTGAAAAGTCTTTCATATTTCATCTCTTAACCTTCTGTATTAATTGACTTTACTGATTACAAGTAGATAGATTCATATTATATCTAACAGAGAAATAATCAAGGAACTGAGAAGCCATTCTACTAGATGTCGAGTTAGACAGGAATACTCTAAGTAAGCCTTATCAACAGTGACAGATAGTAGAAAGCTGAATATCAATATCCTGATGGGGCAGCACATCTGTTTGTAGCTGG